TGCCTATGTGCTCAACTAATGACATGGTCCATTGCCCATCCAGACCGTTATGGGCTGCCGTTAAATTGTGTGAACGGAAAGGTCAGAGCTGACATCACGTCCAATTCCCACGTGCGTCACAGTTCCTCGAAACGCTAGGAGTAACGTGCCCTACGTCTCTTATAACTTGTACCGGGAACCGCGACACTCAGATTCATAATCACACGCCCACAATCGATTAACTCGTGACGATCTGTTGATCGAATGTCGGTTAACATTGATTTAAACATTATGCCCAGAGCACTTAAACGAATATCCCAAGGAGCTTTTGTCAATTGTAATATTTCAAATTGCTGTCCCTTCTAATTACAAAAAGTAATGTAAAGTAAAGCAGTACACCAGGCCTCTCAGTCCTACTGTCCCACTGCTGGGCAAAGACCTCCTCTGTACAGATGGTATTTGGGTGTAGTCTATTACGCGACCCCAATGCAGATTGGCGGGCTTCACATATCTTCGATTTTTTTTTATTGTTTAGATAATGTGCAGATTTCCTCACGATGTTTTGTTTCACCGCTGAGCACGTTATAATACTTATTTATATCATATGTATTACATCCTATTACATCTTTTCTGGGTGGACTGGAATATTATCCAACCCTGAGTGAAGATAGGCGATAACTATATTTTTAACGTAATAACATAAATTTGACAGAACTAGTGTGGATAAGTCAAGATAGATTTCTCCGAAAAGTGTGGCTTTTTGGTAGCATATTATTTATTTCCAGCAGCATTTTTATATAGTCTTAAAGCGATTGCGACAAAATTTGTGTTCAGTCAAGGCGAGCGAAAATAAGACACTCAAAATGGTAACACTGTTTAATGATTCCGATCCAGACATTTACATATGGGACTACTAAAACATTTAATCTAAATATTTTCGAAGAAAATCCGTGCATGACACCTAAAGCCTAAACATACAGAAATGTTTGTTTTCTAAATACGACGATTCCGCGACGCCCACTAGGTTTTTTCTTATCCACGCAGACACAAAAAATTTCTTCCTCGTTTAAATTGCTTTCGCATTCTATATGTACGAATCGCATGTTTATTTAAGTACACACGTAACATCGACAGAGTCGGTTCATCCTGCGCCCTGCATCTGCCGAGTGAGGTCACACCGCTGATAAAGAACTAGTTACGGAGCGAGCGGTTAAAAACTTCGAACGCCTCTCGCAAAACAATCGGAACGTGTGAAAATAGACCATATCACGATGGCGTTAGGTTCTGTCGGCTGCAAACGTTAGTTTGCAGCTCCGCCACCGATAAGAATCGTAACAATGGTGTTTAATGCATGATCTTTTAAGTGTGGGTTCGACGCATAATTGTGTATGATGTCGCGTTTTGAAGGCTTATCTCTTACTGCTCACGACGCAGAGGCGAAGTTCCTTTGAATATTATTTGCCGAGGATTGATCTTATTTTGGTAGTCCGAGTATTGGGGTCAACGTTTTGCACCTTGAATTGGAAGCTCGTTCTCTTATCGGCCGACAAGAAAATGTGAGGTGAAAATTGGCTTTTTTTTCCGTTGTTGAATACACATCGGCTTTGTAACGTTCCAACTGCCTCCGCACTGAACAATAACGAATGTTCGGTCGCAGTTTTGGGACGCTACCAGAGGGCACCAGAGGGCCAGTCGAAACCGCAGAGATAACGGCCACAGAATAACGTTTATATCAATTTCGAAATGTCTCCGTACAACTTGGGCTCGTTCAATAATTGTAATATATCTTTGATACTATTATGGTCCAAAGAGAAGAAGCAGCGTTGCTGTCACACTCATAATTATTTACCCAAATAAAAAATATAAACGAATTAGAACGAGCCATGAGAAAAATCATCTAAAAGTGCCAGAAATATTGCGATACAATGTTATGTAATTTCGAAAATTAAATATTTTTAGTATTATAAAAATTTAATTGACCACGGGATTCGCGTAAATCATAATATCACTGGGAAAAAGTAAATGCGTAAAAGCCATTCAAATAAGATTTTATATTCCAAATAAGAGATAGATTGAAAATATCGTGAAAATACAGAAAAGGCATGAGATGTTATTCCTCTAAAAACTTTCTGGCCCATGCCATTAATGGCGATACAAGCATTCGTTCGGCTCGTAGAGTCCAGGGCCAAAGTAGCAGCAAGGAAGTTGAAGATCCATGTAAAGATACGGCAAAATTACACACCGGGACAGCTTCCATCCATTTATAAAGCCCTAGTCCGATCGTATGGAATACTGCTGCCATATTTATTTTTTATGTGAGAAAGTGGCAAGCGAGCTAGGTGTTCATCTGATGTTAAGCGATAACCGTCACCCATTGACATTTGAATTTTTTTTTGTTACAGAATCTTTAGTAAAGATGCGTTACCACCTTTAGATAAAGTGGGCCCCGACTACCTCACTCACCAGACGAAACGCAAAAGTGTAACACTTCTACTTCACGCCAGTCTTCTGTGAGCTAATTTTACTTAACCCGACGGACTTGCCCATTTGTCGAACAGCCGAAACTGTTGCGTTGCCCTACCACAGTTGCTGCAAAATACCATATACCTACCTGCACTGTACCTGCAAAATACCATACATTAATTGTTATGTGATGCGGTGGAGATTCGTACAAGACTTGTTAGTGCCCTGACCCGATTAGATCTAGAATCTTCCAGGCTTGAGCACAAGCGCTATATTAGCCAGCATTTCGGACTTCTGTTGCATTTTGGAGAGTGCGCATTATCGGAGGTTCTGCTGCATCCTTCTGTTGCATTTCGGAGAGTGCATGCACAGCATTTGCATAATTTCGTACCCATTCCATCATTAGACTACTACAAGCTCTCACACCTCCATCCTTTTGTTGTTCATCACCCACGCCTACGAACGAATAGATTCACCTTTCGTATTGCGTACGGCAAAGGAGTGGAACAGTTTGCCGGCGTCAGTTTTCCCGTCTTTAGATTATAATGCGTTGATGAGCTAGTGTGTTCACCATCTAAGACTACACCTTACTTACCATCGTGTGAGATAGCAGTCAAACTTTAGCCTGTTTTTGAATAAAAAAAGCCAACAATATAGACAGATGCGTGTATTAAATTAAACATTTAACAAACGCAGCTAGAGAGATTCGGCAAATGTAGAATTTACCTAAACTTAAATTTTGAAAATTGATAAGAGAAGGAAATAATTAATGTATTTTGAGAACAATATAACATGTAACTCTTAGTAGTTATTAATAACTGTTTATATTGGGAAATCAACGCGTATTAAAATATATTGCCGCTAGAAATCAAGCACTGAATTGTGTCGGTTTAATTTAAATAATTATAGACATAGGAATATTTTTTTTCATTACACATTACAGATGAACTTAGTTTTAATAGAGAAATTAATTTTTCGTCGTAACTTATAAACTTCGAAAAGTTTGATGTAAATTATAGATACTCTCAAGCTAATACAAAATAAGTTTAAGAGTTATATAAGTCTCACATCAGATGTTAGCCAGATCGATCGCAATCATGAGAGCTGTCGAACGTTTCAAAAGAAAGGTTTCCGAACGCTCTAAACAATCCCGCCAGATTTCGCATCCGACACAAAGGCGGCTATGATTCGCCGCGTTGTACTCCACCGCCTAATTTGCATAGAGACGCGACGTCTGCACAAAGCCCTGTCTCATACCCGGCTGACCCATTTCTATTCGCAATGGCTCCTTTCAAACGTCGCGAAGATTCCCACTGTCCGCCACAATGGCCTATGACCAAACCCTTTCGCTATTTTTGTGGGAAACAGCTCGCTAGGTGCTCCATTTTTTCGCATTGTCCGAACCGCCCGGCCAACGGATTTGCCTTTGGCGTATTTTCATGCGATTTTAATATAATGCCCGATGTGATGGAGCGCCTTTTGTCCGCACCTAGACGTTTTGTTGCGCACCGACCGTTACTATATACCTCAAGTCCACAATCTTGCCATCCACAGTCGAGTCAAACAAATAAGTTGTTTCTTTTGTATTGAAATGTATAAGAAAGTTTGAATTTGGAACGGCCAAATTTATTGATATACCAGATTACCACAGGTGTAACAGTACGTTGTAAGGTATAACGAAAGACTACAACGAAGTCGAAAAAAGATTAACACGAAGTCAATCGTTGGACATTATTTCTTCATCTTCATCACCATATTAAACTCAAGACATTTGCCCACATTATACATGTACGACGTCCGAATTACCTTTGAATTTTTAATCTATAAAACTATTTAATCTCATTTCAAAAAGCATAAAATTTTATTTTTAGGCAACAGGAAAGGGCCATGAATTAAAATCAATATCTATAAACTATTTAAAACAATAATCTATCTCAGAATACAAGGGAACAATACGAGAGACATCTAAAACTATTGACAAAAACCGGTCAAAGAATACATGAAATTATACAAACAATTACAAGCTTAATAGCACTATTCAAGAAATTTAAAAAACCGTTAAAAATAAGCAACGGGGACAGCAAAAAAACATAACGTCTTATGAATTGCACCGAATGCCCGTGTCATACAGAACCAACGGGCTGGACGTAAATAGATAGAGGTTATCGGCGCTTTCCAAAGCGCATCCGAGGCGTCGTCGGTCTCGTTTAAATTGTCTTTTCACTGGGCAGGGTCACTAGCAGCCGGCCGGCCAGGTAGCCAACCCGCGCTGACCCGCGCACACAAAGCCGGGGTCACGGCGACCCCTAACGCCAGTCAAACAGCCCGAAATCGTCGCAGCGTGAGCGATGGGGTCAGCCCCGCGCCCGAGTGACCCCGCTGACCCCTCGCACAATGCCAACCCTTTCTTACAAGGCATTATTTGTAATCCCTTTCGCGAATCTATTCCATTGTCCGTTCGTTCAATTCAATGCCGGCTCCTCGTGAGTTTAGGTGAAATTTTCGCATACATGAGAACGTTCCTGTTGCCTTTGCGAAACTGTAACGCACGAAGGACAATGCACCGGCTTATGGGAAAGTTCGGCGATGCCGTTCGGCTGTCCGCTAGACAATGGAGTGGTCTCCTTTTAATGATCGCCCATTGTGCCGGAGTAGCGCTTTGATACAGTTTTTGTGTGGCCGCCGATGGCAGTTGACCAACGGATTCGCCGATGGTATTTAAGTCGATGACAGGACGGTTGGAGCATTATGAGCGGCCGACATTGGCGCACCACGTGTCGCCTTGGCTCCACAAACGAGCGGATTTGAAGTTAAGACGCCGCCGTCGGCGCCTTTTCGAAGTTAGAAATTACACGAATTTATTTCTCAGCTTTAGGTTTTCAAAGCCAGCACCAAGCTTTTAATGTGCTAGCTAAGCTGATATCGCTTGCCACAGGCTACTTAAAACTTAAAACCTAAGTTGACATAGCATACCAGCAGTAAAACAGAAATTTGATGGTAGACGCTTCTAAATTGATATAATGCCCATAAAGACCATTTAGGCGGATGAAGTTTTGTGATATAAACTGTATTTGTTACAAATATCTTGCACTGTCTTCTTACCACTCGTAAGATGACAAAAAAAACGTCTTGATTTTTTTTTATAAATAAACACAATGGACATATAACATACACAGTTATTTTTATATAAATATGTATCTATATCACATGTTTGACGTTATACTTCTTTTGGTGCGTTAGAGAAAAATGATGACAATAAATTTTTACGATGCGCGCGCACATCGTCACGAAAAACCCTGAAGTTAGCTAGACATTTACGAATGTTTGCGTCTGAACTGACAAATGCATTCACGATATTTATTTTGTGATATTTAAATAAACTTTATTTAACTAGTATTATGCGTTAAAATAAAACTTTCAATGTATTAAATACCTTTTCTCTGTTGTTAGTGTCGTTTTTTATACAAACGATTTTTATCTTGTTACGCCAAAGAAGTATAACTTCTAACGCGTGTACATAAGTACACACACACACACTTTTTTTTGCATTATTAATTTATTAAAGATACTCGTATTCTACTGTAGGGCCACGCAACAGTCTTCGCTGTTGCACGAATGGGCAAGTCTGTCCGATCAAGTACAGGACACCGGCTTGAAGCAATAGTGTTATACTTTTGGGTTTCGTTATAGTTTTATTAAAAGGTGGCGAAGGCAACACATGCAAACCTAAGGGTGTTTTAAATGTCCATGTCTATTACGTAACATTAGTTGAACCGCCAGCTCGTTGCCACCTTCGCGAGCATAATGTTCACGTGATGTTAAATGATTACCATTGACCATAGACATCTACAATACCTAATGGGTTGCAGATGCGTTCCAGCCAATGAAAAAGTCGGCCGCTGTCACATCACACGCCATAAGAAACGAAAAAGTATAACACTTTCACTTCACGCCGATCTTTCCCATATTTATAAGAAGAGTAGCTGATCCGACAAACGTTGTTTTGACATATAAATTATTTGTAGATTAGAAAAAAAATTTTGGGTTGGACTACCCTTAATATTTAGGGGGATGAAAAATAGATGTTGTCCGATTCCCCACCCTGGCAGATATGCACACAAAATTTCACGAAAATCGGTCGAACCGTTTCGGAGGAGTTCAATTACATACACCGTGACACGAGAATTTTATATATTAGATAAAAAAACTTTGAAGTATGGAATAAGAATAAGGAACTTTCCTATAACTTTCTTATAACTGTGCCCTGGTTATTAACAATTTTATAATGAACTCGCTTAACGGGAAAAATATAATATGTTTGTCTACAAAATCTTCTCGATTTTTCTGTGAACTTTTGATCTTAACTCTCTACGACAATAATTTTGAAACATCGAGTCCTCAAAGTAGGTAATGGTTTTTAGTTATTTGTGCATGTTGAATAAAATATGCTACCGTATAACGTGCGCAGCGTTAAAAAAAACATCATGAGGAAACTTGTATATTTTCAAAATAGCATAATCTTCTTATGTATAAAAATGGATTGCTGTTCGTTAGTCTCGCTAAAACTCGGCAACGGATGGACCAATTTGGCTAATTTTGGTTTCGACATATTAGTGGCAGTCCAGGGAAGATTTAAACGATTAGAAATTATGGAAAAATTACATGGAAAATCGAAATAGCAAAAATTTTATTTTCCCATACAAACTGTCCCTGTTAACCTGTCAAATATTTTATCCGTGCGTTCTGAAAATTCTTTTTCTATGCGCTCAGATTCACATATTCTATAGAAATGATTTATATGGAATAACAACGTTTGCCAGGTCAGCTAGTAACAAATATATATTTCGAAGATATGTGAAGTCCGCCAATCCGCGGTGGGCATAGTCCAACTAACGAGTAGTTGGATTACGCCTTAATACCATCCGAACAGAGGAGGTCTTTGTCCATTTGTGGATCATAATTGTCTTACTTTAATTTACTTCAAATAATTAAAAAAAAGTTTTTTCTTTCTTAACTAACTCATTCCAAATTAGCAAAGCACGCAAAGTTCAAAATGAAGACGAGATACGGAATTTCGTTTTATAAGCAGCCGTACGTTTTAAATAAAAAGCGCCGTAAAAAAAAGCAATTCGGTGTCCAGTGAGCGGCGAGATCCAGCGGAAGCGCCGGCGGAGGAGAGTGGAGGCCAAGGGACAGTTGGCACGTGCGCGGGCAGGTGGCTACCTACCGGGGCAGAGGTAAGCAACCGGAGGCAATCTGATAATTTAATTAAAATTGTTGTATTATTTACAAAGCAAGATATCTATTTACAATTGGAACATAAAAATGGTTTAATAGTTAGTAATGCATCAGAAACACGTACGACGTCCATGGGCTGCGGTAATGACTAAAACTCAGGTGAATCGCCAGCTCACTTGCCAACTTTTCACATCGAAAACGGATTTCATTGCGATCAATTCAAAGCGATTTTTTGCCATGAGAGAAGAGATAAAATTAGGTTTATTTTGTAACATGTGTGAACAAGGAAAAAAATAGTTTTATATTCACTAAAACATAAAGATTAATATTAAATTGTAGGAATTAATATAAAAGTATATAAGTAAATAAACATTTTGTTCTGTTCCTTATCTCTGCCTGCCCAAGCCACCGAGGCCTTACTAAGTTTTCTTATTTGCACTTATGTTTTAAATTTTTTCTTAAAAGTGTTGTGCAACTCTGGCGTGGCGAGTCAACCGCTGCTGCTCGCCCCGCATGTGTTGGTCCGTTATTTATTTTTTATATCAAGATTAACGTCTCAGGAGGCAAGATGCATCGCTATCTCCTACCCTTTAACTTTTTCCAAACACACATGTCGTAGATGGGATTGTTACACGCTACAATATTTTAATTGGACCTCTTAACAGTGTCTATTGGAATTCATTTTCCGAGCATTCGTCTTGCGTTCGCGTTAGTCTTTTTTATCAGTTATTTCTAACGAGTTTCGAAGACTTCTTTAATGGAATGAAGTCTTCGAAACTCGCTATGTAAGAAAACTTCTAAAATCGTTCAATCCGGTTTGAGAAATGCAATTAAAAAGTATTTAATAAGGATGTATATACCTTATCATTAAATCCTTTTTTTATTATATAACCATACCTTCCAGATTTTAAACAAAATATTGCAACGACGTTACAATTGTTAAAAAACCGGAAAGAAGTGTATGCGCACAATGTTACGAATAATAGTTTCTGAATTTAAATTACTTTGATGTTCAAGATTATATAAGTTTTTATTTGTTCAGGCTTATTTTAATTACCTTTTTAACAATCGGTAATATTGTTCTAAAATTTCGGTAGACTAACGCGCGGTTTCTGAAACACTGATCATGGTAGAAGTTAACTAATCTGCTGTCAAATGGCTTTTCAAATGTTGTTTAAGTTGCCAAAAGTATGGTTAAACTCTCTGAATTGATCAGAATGATCTTCTTAATGATCAGAATGATCAATTCAAAAAGTTCATCCATCCTTTTGGCAACTCAAATTACATTTGAAAAGCCATTTGACAGCTGATTTGTTAAATTCTACGATGATCAATGTTTCAGAAACCGGGCGTAAATCGCCTTAACTCCCATATAGATAAGCGATCGCCGAAAGAACACGTCAAGTTCGCAAATATATCAATATTGACTTCTTGCATCACCATGAACAGGTATCATAATGGAAGAAATTCATTTGAAATTTCAATTGACGTTTTCAATGTCATTGCGATTAATGGTTGCTTAATAGGACCGTACAATGTGGCACTTTCTGATCTAGTTGGATTAAAAGCTTTTTTCTCCTCATAAATTACTCGAGTTTCTAAAAAGGTCGCATCTCACTCGACGGATTACGACAAAAAAGTGGGAGACTTTGAGGATAAGAGAATGTTAATTTGTTGAACTACTGGTTGTACCATTTAAGGTTGTGTCATTTGGGGTAATAAAGCACTGAGCGATTTAAGACTAATGAAAGATGGCCTTTGTATCTTCTTGGAAGATGTTTATTACTAGATCTCTACTACTTTGAGGCATGTGCGTAGGCTCGGCCACTTAGAGAGGATGGGGGAGGATCTTGCCGTCAAGAGAGCATAAATAGAGGGCAATCATAAGAGAAGCGTCCTGTTGGCTGCCCACTGGAATCACTGGAAAGATAAACTCCAGAAAGATCTAAGCGCTCTCCAATCAGACAACCGAAAAAGCCCAGAGTAGAGAGCTGTCTTTTAGTGTCGCAGGCCAAGATCCTATTTGGGTTGCTGAGCCAGCGAAGTAAGTAAATAAGTAGTAAGTATCAACCATCATCTGTACTCTACTAATAGTAAATATTTATTTTACAGTATCAAGATGTCGCGGTCGAACTACACACAGGTGCCGGTGCCCTTTGCGCACACCCCCATCTCCCACGGCGCACATCCTTTGTCCCCGGTCGAGAGACGCGAACTACCATCCGTGCGCCTCACTTTAAAGGATATAAGGATATCCTTAATACCACATTAATATTTGTGTTCCACCTTCACGTTACCAAAGTCCAGAGCCAAAACAAAACTTCGAAGTTCACAAGAGTTCAAGAGTTCACTCTTAAACAGATTTAATGAAAGTCACTTTTGGTTAGCTTTAAAATTGGTTATTAACGCTTAACGTCAGCTAGCTTCCGAAAATGTAATTTTTTTTCGGATCGGATGATCGTTGAAGCTTACAATCTTCAGAATTGAATTGAATGACATCCGGTAAAGATTTATTCATGTTTATTATACATATTAGTACACGTATATTCGTATTAAATATAAAACGTATAATCACCGATTGTAGTTGGAGTTGACTGGTAGAGAATGCCAATAGGCTTTCTACCATATTACTTTTCCATACCATTTAAGATAGACAATAAAATAATAAATTGTAGCAAACTTTGTGATCACTTTCTCGAAAAGACAGTCGACATTAATAAATTAATTATTTAAATACATTTTTATTTAATTAATTGCTTAAGTTTTTCTTAATTCTTTTTTTCTTCTAACAAAAAAATAACATAACTGCAACAAATCGATAAGATTTAATAAAAAGGCTATAAAATCCAACAAGTACGTCGAAATGTTATTTTGACAAAAAAAAAAAGAAAACAATTTGAACAATATGTTAACGAGCCAATATACAGTTTTGTCATATGTATGTATCTGGCCTTATTACTGCATACAATATCTTTAGGTACTCCCCCCATTAAGAAGTCTTAATTCTCTAGTTCTTTTGGATTGATTTCATATAATTTTTCTTCTTTCTTTTACGCCCGGTTTCTGAAACACTGATAGAAGGCAAGATTGTTAAACTCTCTGAATTTGACTTCTACGATGATCAGTGTTTCAGAAACCGTTAGTTTTACATCCATAATAAATCTATTGACCTTTTGAGGTAATTGCGTCTTTCTCTACCACAACCCTATTAAATAAATGGAACTCCGTCACAACACAATCGAGGTACAAACTGGTCTTATAAGTGCAACATGTCAAACGTTAAACTGGTAATAAAAAATACAAGCGATTTGCTCGCGATATTCAACGTAAGACGGAACGGCCGTTAACGTTAAAGCAATATGTTGTTTGGACTTTCCTTAGCTTACAAGGGGGAGCGAAGGTTGTTTCTTCACGCGTATGACGTAATTAAAATGCCACGGATACTTGTGTTTTGGTGTATTCAAAGTTTAGTGGAGAAACTCAAAAAGTCCAATAAAGGCTACGTTATTCTGTTCTCTATAATTATCAAGTTACTTTCTAGTAAACGGATACGCGTCCAGACTCCAGACGCTTTAACGCACCAAGCTAAACGGCTGTTTGCCACATCGACGAAAATATCAACAGTTTACGTTGAGATTTTCGGTGTGTTGAGATTTTACGATCCACATTATTTTTTCGTGTTTTATGCAATACTTGCTCATCTTTTGTGTGTTCCATTCCCCCAAAGGCGAATATCTATAAGTCCAGTTTTTCTACAAATTTTCTACGAATGTTTCATCTTAAGTGCAGGGCACTATAAAATTTAAATCTCAGTCTAGGCCGAAATACGAAAAAACCGCAAAACTTTCTTGAGCTCATCCAAATGCTTCTTAGAAGCATTACTACCTAAGATTACGGATTCGATTACAATCGGATTTGAATAGTTTCGAAACAGTGCTTGACTAAAACGACAATACTTATACTATACTTCTTATAATCGCTTATCGTTTTTCGGAGTAAGTCTACCGCTTCGGAAGCCATATATGTTTAATATCGTAAGACAGTTATCCAGTGATGAACTGACTAGTTAAGCTTGCGCCACGTAACGTTTGTCAGAGAAGAGCTCTGGTAAAAACTGGAACGACTCGACAGTCTTAACTTTCGGCCATTTCCACTTTATTTTGATCCAGCTTTTTAATGTGTGTTTGCCTGCGTCTCTCTGAAATTACATATATCGATAGTTATGTGATGTAGAAAGATGATATTACATTGGATTATATTTTAATGCAGTGTTAAATCTATCCTTCATGTCAAACTTCGTCTAAATCCATTCAGCCTTTATAAATATTATAATATAAAATTTTCAATTACTTAATATAATCAACAGTAATTTTTGGATACGTAACGTCTTTAATTGTCGTATCAATTATTTCCCCAATCGTTGCTTCCCTCGTGATTAGTCACTATAACAATTACTACGATTGCCCGTCGTAGAAATATGTACAAGCATACATAGATAGTAGGTGGTCAATCACATACATACTCTGTGGCGAAAAGGTCATTCGTAAGGCCAATTACTTGCTTAGACTTTGACATTTACGTACGCGAGCTGTAACTTCTAACACCAGGTACTTTTTATTTTGTTTCCTTCTTACTGGACGCCTTTCGAAATTTGATCCTTGTGTTCACGCAATTTAGAGTCTTATGCCTGTGTTGGCAGAGTCGCAATCATTATTCGTCTCAGCCCGGATGGAGTAGGGGGATCACGGTAACATTATAAGAGAGGACGGCACGTGTTTCGACAGGTGGGTGTCCAGGTGCTAACGGGTATTTTCTACTTACGTAACAATGGAGCAGTTTAATGATCGGTTTTTCTTCGTCGATCGGAAGTGAAGTATGGAAGTGTACGACGGGATAATCACTTTAGAAACAATCGCGCCTTTCAACCCTAGGTCTCAGGACGTGACAGGTGACTCGACCGTCGGCGTACACTTGTCCAAATGATACGTGATGCGTTCGTTTGGTGGAGATATAAAACACTATCGATACCTTGGCTGCTGAACGAGATGATATCGAAAAAAATTTTCCTCATTTCTTAAAAAAAGGAGGATTTTTTTCCTCTGTTGTATGGACGTTTTACATAAATTGCACGAGGGCAAACACCCAGATGCGAAACAACTATCCGCGGGTCGCACAAATAGTTGTCCCGTGTGGGAATCGAACCCACGAACCCCGACGCCGAAGCCAATGCCTTGGCAACTGCGCCACGGAGTCATCAAATTTTTTATTATTTGAAATTATTTTCTATTGTTATATTTTTTTCCCTATTTCTTAAAGACGCCTCTTTCTCTTCTTCTATATAATCAGTAGAGTCAGTTGAAAGTCAAACAACGAATAGGACCGTCAATATTTGTGTTACAAAAACTAAACTCTTGGGTGATTTTGTTTAGGGTTCCTAAAAGACTGAATTGGATTTATTTTATAATTAAACTTTGTAAAAAAAACCGTCTTCCTTATAGGAATCAAAGCATGTCAAAACATGATCTTTACATTTTAAGGAATCGTATACTTTTTACCTATTATACGCAAAAACTTTTGATAAAGATCGAATTAACCCAGACCACAGGAGATAATGACAATGAAATAAAACACTGCTTACCTCATAAAAAATAGGCAATGACACGAAAATTATATTTTTAATAGAGTAACTCTATGTATCGATAGATAACGATAATCACTGACTGGTCCACAAGAAATAATACGTATATAGATTTTTAAAAACGTAGATAATCACTTATGAATCGGTCCACGAAGAGAAGTGAATAGTGCACATTGGAAATAAAGCTGTTTTATCGCCTTTAATGTATTTTTGAATTTATGCATGTACATCAATGCTGGTCAAAATTAAACGGGAGACAATCTGTAAAAAAAGTTCATTCGCAAATGTAATATTCTATTCTATTATTATAATGTAATAAATGGTATTTTGGAATTCTTCCACTGCGATAGAATGTTAAATGGACCTTATTTGATTAATTTATGTAACATAAGAATTTATGTTCAAAAGCATCTTTATTCCAATGATGTTTAAATAATATGGATGACGCATATCTATAATATACGCGTCGTTTAAAATAGTTCCGCTTTACATTATATGACATATATGTATAAAATGAATGCTACAGCTCATATAGAACGTATGATACGGAAGGAGATAGCAGTCTATAAAATTGAAATCTATTTACGCCAATTGGTGTAATTTTAGCGCCATTTCATTGCGCTAGTATCATATCTACCTCGTATTTGTATATATATGTATCATTGGTTTTAAGTATGAAGTTCTCCAAATTGTGAAAATTTTCGCGTTAGTATCTTGGCAACGTTACAAAGAAAACTATTTCAATTACTCACAAAAACGATACTCCGTGAGCTCTATTATAATCCAATACTTCAAAGTGCATCAATAACGGCATTTTTTTTCCAATTAATGAATACATTTGTGACATCAGACCATATACCAGTCCTAAATAACCGTTTAATAATCGACGTCACAAAAAGTAATGACAACAACAATTCTCTCATTTGGAAAATCCTCGCGAGGAACTTATACAATTACGCAATTGCTTCATTAACCCTTTTAAACGCATCATTCGCGTCCAACTGTTGTTTATCGGCCAATTCGAATGAGAAAAAGCCGACCTATAAGAAGGTAACAGCTGTCAAATGAAACTGACATTTGCGTTTATGTTATGTCACCTGACAGGAGCTAATGCGTAAACTTTCTACGATGCCATTAATCAAAGAAGATGAATAAGAATTTATCACGATTGGGATCTAATTATTTAGAATAGTAGTAAGAAAATAATTATAATGTGATAAAAATAAAGCACCTGTTCACTATTGGAGTAAATACACATATAAAAGGTCATTATAGACAACATTTATTGAATAACAGCAGTTAGTCAGTTTTAGATAGTGTAACTTTCGTAGGACTTACGCGATTATGCTCATATTCAGATAAGATATTTATTACGTTATAAGAATAGTGAAGGATGCTGCTATTTACCAAAAAGCCCAGAGAAACTTTAAGCAGGCCAGCTAATGCGCGTTTCAAAAATATATTTCACATCTACTATTTAATCTCGACCATTTCATATGATAAACTTTAAACGTACACTCAAATTCATAATAATTTAAAAAGATTTCTCTAGAGCCCTTTGCAAATGTATGCTCGAAGAATATTACCCCTGTCCGATAAAGACCTCTTACGGTGCTGGAACGACCCAGGCTATTGCGCCCCGCCAGTTGGCGACCCCTGATCTAGATAGAATCTATCCAGCAGGGTCAGTGACTGGCACCAGATGTGTGGCGCATCTGCCGCTCCCCCCTCCCCCTTCACGCTCCGCTGACTCCGACGTCTTGCGATCTTGCCACGGCCGGTGGTAAATATTTATCTTTATTGGCGTCGCCCGAAGACACGCTTTCTTGCGTTATCATTTTCCCGCTTTCCGTTGGCGCGCTGTTGACCTTAGGCGGGTGCGACGCGACATGTGCGCCCCATTCGCCCCCCAAGAGGAATGGAAGCGGATGACGTCACCTACGTGACGCAATGACGTCCACGGTGTAAATGGGACGGTCCGTGTGAATACGTAGTTAGGTTACGTGTATTGAAGCTATTTTGTTTAATATACGACAGATAACTGAATTTTATTGGTTGTTGTAATTAACACCCTCATATGCGAGTTTAGAGTACAACTTAAGTAGTTAAGTCCGTCTGTACGCGAACTTAGCTTAGTTATGACGTAGAAGGCTCCCGAATTCTGACTACCACTTATTACTTTATTGCTTTTTAATAACAAAAACAAACCGAGACGCTGTTATGAAAAGTATATTGTTGTGGTAATTTCATCTTACTTAGTTGAGTATGCCAATTTTTGTAGCCTTTGTAAAGTTACAATGCGAATCAACGCCAATTTTATTGGAAGACTTGATGAATGTGCTATAGATATAACAAGATTTTTTTATATCTATAGCAATAATATACACAATTACGGCAAATAATACAATAATATACGGCACATTTGCATATACTAAAATCCCACGTCGATTAACCTATAAACAATAACAACTTCTCATAAACTGGATTTGAACCCCGTAGCCCGAAAACAAATTTAGCCTCTGCGAGTATGAACCTACATAAATGCAGTGTTCTTAATGCTACATGCATTAGGTTGCTAAGTACATCCAATTAAATATTTTTTCTAAAAGAATAATAATGATTTAATTTTCATACTTACATAATTTACATACACACAAGACAACATGCAATGATAGTATATTTTTCCTAACATGATTTATCCTTCCGCCCCTCATGTTATATCACTTTAATTTATTAAAAATTATTATAATCAAAATGTATCATCAAATCTAACTACTCTCCTCTTGGAATAAATACTGTATCGATATCCGCGTACTCTTTCTCACGGCCGTCCGCCCGAGGGGGGTGTAAAACAAAACAAACAGGGAGCACACGCCACGCCGCGGTGTCCGGTCGGAAGGTAACCCGAAACCCCGGGAAGCCTTAAAGCGCTTCCACTGCGCCATCGACACCTACCGGTATACATTTGCCGGGATGTATTTGGACACAGTCTGGCTACAAGTGAAGTCAAGTTAAGTAACAGCCTGTACATGTCCCACTTCTGGGCAAAGGCCTCCGCTATACAGAGGGTATCAGGGCATAGTCCACCACGCGGCCCCACTGCGGATTGGCGGACTTCACATATCTTCGAAATATTTTTTTTATTATTATGCTTATTTCGAAAATATGCAGGTTTCCTCACGATGTTTTCCTTCACCGCTGAGCACGTGATAATTCGGCACTTAAGATTAACAATTTCATTGGTGCCGGCACCGGGGATCGAACTCAGGTTGCTTGAATATATTGAATTAAGGGCGAGCGCCCGGACACTGAGCTATCACGGCTTGCTAAAGTCGAATCGTTTTAGGGTTCCGTGCCCACAGGGTAAAACGGTAAGACTCCGCGGTCTGTCTGTCTGTCTGGCCGTCAGTCGGTCACCAGACTGAATATCGTGAACCGTGATAGTTAGACGGTGCAAGTTTACACAAAAACTAAAAAAATCATGATTTTTTTGCCATTTTTATAGATAATGGTACGGAACGCTTCGTGCGCGAGTCCGACTCGCACTTGGCCGGTTCTTTGGAGATCTATATAACAAACGAATGGGCAATGAGCCAGTGAGGAATTACTATCCGCCATCGAGGAATTACTATCAACAGATTTTCTGACCACCAAACAGGATGATCGGCAAAATTGTCATTATGATAATACTAGCTTTTCGCCCACGACTTCGCTCGCGTTGAAGCCCTTAAATAAATATCTTTCAAGCCTTTACAACACTTTTTTCCAATTAGAAAATAGCCTATGTCCTTTCTTAGGCTCTAGACTATCTGTGAACCAAATTTCATTTAAATCGGTTCAGTAGTTTTTGAGTGAAAGCGAGACAGATAGACAGAGCTACTTTCGCATTTATAATATTAGTATGGATTATGGTCAGAAATCTACACAATCATGACTAAGTTATATAATTTCAGGAATACGCAAGTTCCCACAAATTACTTTAATGGGCTAGAAGGTGGGATCTGAAAAACTAATAATTAATTTGTGTTACATTTCTAACTGTGGCCTTAGCTAAACCCTACAAACGACATCGACTATTTCACAAAAAGACTTTTTATCATTATATTTTTTTACCGCATTTTGACCAACCAATACCACAGAACATGGTTCAATTAACTCGATTAGTAGAATGGTTGTTAACATTGACGTAATTGCATTGCGTAATATCTGTTAATAATTCAACCATTAATATATAAACAGCACAAAAATTTTCCTTCCCGCTCTAAAAATAATATAGAATTAAAAAATAATAAATGATACACGTTGTAATTTTTAATATCTATGGTTTTTACAGCTCGTTGTAATAATTAAAACAGCAGTTATTCGTACATGACATTGAGCACATTATATTTAAGAACAATAATTTTAAGTGTTCCATGTTATTTGCGAATTCCCGAATGTGCCACCTGAGCTGAATAAAATTTCTGCAAGCTTGTTACGTTTTATTAAATTATTATACGAACAAAACAGGAGTAATCAACTGCGGTACGCCGCAACTGTTTTTTCTGTGCTGACGTTCTGCCCTCGACGACAAGAAAGACGTATCTAACAAAAAGTAAATACGGAGAAAAAAATATTTTAAGTTGTAAAACGGGAAACCGCATGCTGTGATTTAGTTATTGTATTTATCAATATTCTGTGAATGCAAAATTTTTCGGCCCGTATCTCGTCTTAATTTAGCATTCTAAAATTTTAATAATGATAAATTGTTTTTTTTATTTTTTAAAAAAATCGTTTCTTTTTAGCAAAAAAAATATAGCAAATTATCTAAACCTAAGTAGAAGAGTCGTAAAACACCAAATGCGCCATTTCAATGTAGCACAAATACAGCACTACCAATTCACCTAAAAATAAAATACGTATTTTTTTATTTACGACTTTTATCCTTAGTACCTTACCTGTTGTGACTGTTCAATTAATAAGATAAACAGTACCTATCACCCATCTTTCACACAACACAAAAGGATGGTTTTGCCTACACAGCCCAAGGAAGGTGTTTGTGAAGGTATACACATCGTTCAAATTGGGAGTTAATTTAATTATTTAATCAGAGTCACTTTAATCAGCTACATATCAACATTTAATTATGAATGGAAGTGGTAAAATTATATCAAAAATGGAAACATTGGTATGGTGTGGCACAAGCACAAAACTAAAAAATAATCCTCTTAGGAATCAAATATCTTAAGTAGTAACAATTAGGACCCTGAAATTAGGAGCTTGTCACCTTGTGACCCATGTCTTATGACTACGACAATAAACAGTCTTACAATAATAATCAGTCTAATATTCCGTAACAATATAAAGGTAGCGCCAAAAATAACATTAATGTTATTAATAGGCCATCAACAGCAACCATCAATAAAAAACTAAAACAGGCATGCCTTATCTTTTCGTTCTTGCTTTATTCCTCGATAGTAGTTTTTGATTACCGGCGCAGGTATCCCTTCCTCGGGAAATGGGTGTTTCGGGAGGTATCTGTTTCGCGTAGCAAGGAGGGAGCCCACAGCGGAATGCCACCACTGTGACGTATGTGCCAAGGAGACGGCCCCAACACGCGCTGGAAGAGTGCCCAGCCTGGACGGAGTAGTGCCGAGAGCTGTGCGCTATCGTGGGGCACGACCTCTCGCTGCCAGCCGTGGTTCGCGCCATGGTTGACAGCGAGAGGGCGTGGGGTGTTGTCCTCGCATACTGCGAGGACGTTAGCAACTGGAAGGAGGTCGCAAAGAGAGAAAGAGAGGAAACTGCCACCCTGGAAATCCACCGAAGGAGATCAGGGCGCAGGAGACTGGCCTATGCACGCAAACTTCTCCCCTTTAGTAAGACCCTAAGCGGCAGACATGGGGGTGTCTGCTAATGCACATGGGGCTAGTGAGGGGTGCAGCTGCTGTGCTAGTTGCATCGGCACATCACCATTTAGCCGGATTGGGTGGCCTAGCACCCTTGAATAGGAGGCTTAAGATGGCCATAGTCGTGCCGGGGACGCGGAAGATTGCGTCTACGTGTTCCCGTGTCCCCGGCCGATGCGACAGCGACAGGTGCAACGTGTGTCTTTTAGTGGGCACCCGTCTCCGGGACTCTCAAATACGCCTGCCCCTCCCCCGATCCAGTGGCAGGGGATCCATAAAGGATTTTTCCCACGAAGAAAAAAAGGTATCCCAATCCATCACTCTTTCTCATCCATCGGTTCCGCATCAAAATCCGTTCTGTAGGCAACTGAAGTTCGGTCTCTTTGGAATACAACCTCACACATGTTAGTGACATGTAAGCTCGGGATGATCCAGATTGTGATCTTCTTGAAATTGATATATGTCCAAGTTCCAATTTATATGAAGATGAGCAATCCTCAAATGTATAAAAGTCACTGATACCCATATTTTTTACTGTGATCTTACGATGGGTGTCTGCCACTGATTGATGGAAATCCTCGAAGTCGTAGATTCTTTTTTTTTGCTACATAAAAAGTTCGACCTGGTGATGAAACTCATCCGCAGACTTGAATGTATGTCCAACTTCAAAGTATCTGAGGGTGATTGTTTCCAGGATGACGTACGTGAAGTTTACTAAAAACAGAAGGTATGAAAATAAGCTCTAAATCTTTTTCTGCCCAGCGCACTTATCAAGCCACAGGATGATATGTTTCACATCTCGATTAAGCAAAAAGAAAGCCAGAAAACAGCTGGCAATATCATCTTTCTTTCGGCCTTGATTACCCTAGTGCATGCCAATGTCTCCCTTGAGCTGCTTCTTCTTTCTCCCGCGGGGCCGCGATGCCTGATTTTCACAGCCACTAAGGCGCAACTGTTGCGTTCCCGAACATTTCTCTACCCCCCCCCCTTTGCATATATCGACACGAGGTAGAAAAGGCACTTCTACTCACTTACGTCTTTTTTTTTAAATATTG